ACACACACACACACACACACACACACACACACACACACACAGTTACTAATAAAGTTCACTGCGTTTAAATGAAATAAAGATTTCATTCTGCCATTCGGGGCCCTGCTACAGCCCCAGAACCAAAACCAGAACCAGGACCGGAACCAGGACCAGGGCCAGGACCAGGACCAGGACCAGGACCGGAACCAGGACCAGGACCAGGACCAGAACCAGAACCAGAACCAGAACCAGAACCAGGACCAGGACCAGGACTAGGACCAGGACCAGGACCAGGACCAAAACCAGAACAAGAACCAAGACTAGAACCAGAACCAGAACCAGAACGAGACCCAGAACGAGACCCAGAACCAGGACCAGGCCCAGAACCAGCACCAGGACCAGAGCCAGACCCAGGACCAGAACCAGAATTAGAGCCAGAACCAGAACCAGGACCACAACCACAACCACAACCAGAACCAGAACCAGAACCAGATCTCCAGAGTGGTCCGGCTGACGGCATCCATTACGGCGAACAACTGAGGAGCAAATGAAGACGAATGATATGATTCCTGAGCGCATCCCAGCAGTCAATCCTGCATCCGGGAGGTTCCCATTCAGAGCCATTGATCAGCTTTACAACCTAAGTAGCCGGCCAGGAAACTAAACGGTGGCGATCGATGCTGTTTAACAGATTATTGACTGCTGACTGTTGCCCGGGATCAAAACAGAAAGGGTGGGATGGAGAAATAAGCAAATGGAGGAATGGAATGAAAACACGTGAAAGTGGAAAAGGCTGATGGTGATAAATGGGGAAGGAAAACGGGGAAAAGCAGCAGAGAGGCAACCGGGGGATGAATGTGCATGATTATGTGCATTTAACGAAGAAAACCGAAAGCAAAAAAGGAGCGAAAACAAAGAGAGGAAGGGCAGGACTCCGCTGAGGAACGCAGGCGGTGCGTTCACACGCACACCTGAAAGTCGGAAACGGGAGAATTTTCCCAAACAAGCAGCCGTCAAACAGAGGCTTTTTCTGCTCGTCCTTGTTTGGCTGATTTTAAATGGCACATAACTGTAATTAGGCCCCTTTGACTGGGAGTAGAGCGTGTTCATATTATTTGTTTTTGAGTTTTTTCATAGTTTGGACCACTTTTATCTGTGTGACAACCAGAGGAGGACGAAGACTTTCAGCCGACTGGACACGTGTGGTCCTAATTTTCTACAGATTTCATAAAGTTTAAGTATGTTTTTGTTCATTGGATAGATGGTGTCACTGTGTTAGAGCTTGCCTAAAGAAAAGGAAAAGGACTGTCAGAGGTTTAACTTATCAGTGGAGCTCATTCCAGGTTTTTCTGTATTTTGTTGTATCTTTTATGTTTGACCCTTTAAAGCTAGATCCAAGAAAAATAATAAGAATATTGGATTTTTTTTTGTCTGAAGTCTTTCTTTGGCCCCTAAACAACATATGAAGAAATAAAACAGAAATGATTTTGATCAAATTAGCGTGCAATAAGTCAAAAATATATGTTGGTGTAGTCTTCTACTGGCTGTTATCAGGTATATCTGAATGTGTACAACAGGGGTTTGAGCAAAGCTTTTACCACTGAATGATGCAAAAAGTCTCAGATCCAAAAGACTTCAGAAAACGTATGAATCAAATATGATACATTTGGCATTATAGGGTTAAAATAAAATTGACAAGCCTTTTTTTTTTTTAGCCCCTATTCTTTTGTTTGTCTGTCCAAAGAAAAATTAGTGAAGATGAGAAAATATAAAGGCTGGAAATAGTACAGAACGTAAAAATTGGAGGTGGACCACCGACTGAACACACACAGGAGAGGAGCCGGTGTGTGTGTGTGTGTGTGTGTGTGTGTGTGTGTGTGTGTGTGTG